AACCATCACTTAGAGACTGAAATTATTTTATTTTCCTAGATGACATCTCCTATTTCCCTGTGATCTTTTCAGAGGTTTCAGAAACGCATGCGTAACACAATCATGTATGCCTCAGGGATGGCACATTGTATAGCTCTGCCATTAGATAAGGGTACTTGCTGTATCTATGGGGGAAATGCCGTGCTTTGTCAATTTACTGCCTCTCTGAATCTGAAGGCACCATTTAAAACTGGATGTAGTAGTTTACTAAGTGGTGTCAAGTGTTTAAGCTCTAGAAAATAAGCTGTTTGAACCGTGGTTGCCCAGGGATCAGATTTCCTTTTCTTGGTTGTTGGAAGTTGTTTCTCCCAGGAGTGTGTGTAGGTATGTGTGCAAGAGAGAGAGAGGGAGGAAGGGAGAAAGAGTGAGTTGGATACTAAATTATTTCCATTTTTGATGTCCTTTGGGTATTGGTAAGAGCTCTTTTGAAATGATCCAAGATTTCTGGAATTGTAATTTAAGCGTATAATATAGGATTGAATTATCAATATCCTGGACCAGTTTGTGACTAAGGAACCCTTTGAGGTGACATTTAGGTGCAAATATCCAGGCTGAGAGACTTGACTTGCATAAGTGATACTTTATGAACTCCACAAGCATGCCCTAGTTAGTAGCTGAGTCTCTGTGCTTGCTCCGCACTAAAAGCCACTTTTACTTTACATTTGAGAGAGTGCCTCACGTTGGTGGCATTCAGAGCCAGGGTGTATTCCCGCAGTGGGCAGTGAAAGGCCCAGCAGTTTTTAGATTTTGTGAAAAAACTATTGTAGAAACTGAGTAGCCCTAGGAAAGCCTGAGGACTTACTTTGACTTTTTGAGTAGATGATACACACTCTAACACTTGATCCTAAGTGGTCTTATGTTGAGGTCTGTTGATACGTTGGTATTATACTTATCAAAACAGCTCACTCTTACTCATCAAGAAAAAAAAATCATCTGTTTTTCTTAGGTCTCTCATGATGAAATCAGTGCTCTAAAGTCCACGATCTCTGGATTCCATGATTCACAACACAGTCGAATCACAGAATTATGTAGTGTCTCTTTTCTGAATGCTGGGTCTTCAAAAAGTGCTTAAAATTTCAGAGTCCATAGAAAGGCCAAATGATAGGACAGAGTTTGATCTCTTTGAACATCTATGGTAGCAGCCTGAACAATAATTTATAAACATAGGATGTATTCAGTTTTCGAGACTTCTGTCAGGGAGAGTCAGGAGTTAGCACTGCAGGTGAGTTGGCCATGATGCTGAAGTGCCTCATCATCAGAGGCCAGATCATCTGCTAGGCATAGGTTTATCCTCTTAAGAGCGAGTGAAGCTGTGTTCTGTAGCCGTACCCTCTGGATCCCACCAGCAGTGGGCCCGACTCCGGCTGCTCCACATCCTCACCAGCACTGGATGTAGGCAGTCTTTCTTGCCATTCTTAAAGCTGGGTAGTGGGATCTTACTGTGGTTTTTTCATTTGTATTTCCCTAATGACTGATGGTGTCAAATGTCTTTTCATGTGCACATGTCTTTGGTGAAGGATCTGTTCAAGTCTTTTGTCCATTTTCTTATTGGGTTGTTCTATTACTGAGTGGAGAGTTCTTTATATGTTTTGGTAACAAGTTTTTATCAGATATGTAATTTGCAAATACATCCCTCCAGTCTGACTTGTCTTTTATTCTCCTAACAGTATGTTTTGTAAAGCAAAATTTCAAAATTGTGTCCAGTTTATCAGGTTTTTTTGTTTTGTGTTTTGTGGATCTTGCTTTTTGTGTTGTACCTAAGAAATCTTTGTTTAATCTCAGGTCACTAAGGTTTTCTCCAGTGAGTTGTATGGTTTTAAATTTTACAATTTTTAGGTCTGTGGTCCATTTTAATCTAATTTTTGTAGTGTGTGAGGTATGAAGCAAAATTCTTTTTTTTTTCCCCATGTGGACATGCTGCTCAGCCCCACATATCAGAAAGGCTCTCTTTTCTCCATTGCACTGCCTCTGTGCCTTTGTCAGAATCCTTTGAAGCATGTAGGTTTATCTCCAAGCTATCTCTTCTCCATAGGTTGGTTTGTTTTTATGACTGTAAGTAACTCTTAGAAACAGGTATGTTTGGTTTTGCTGGTGGTTCCATGAGGGGAGATAACTCCAGGCCCTGCTCCCCATCTTGCCTGAAAGCAGACGACCTCCTGTCTTGCTGTGGGAAGAGCAGTTCACACCCTGACACCTCGAATCTCCCGGTCCTCCGTCCCCAAACCCTTCACCTGCCGTGTCAGGAACCTTCCACGTAGTTGTATCCTCTCTCATGTTCAGTGAAACCGCCCTCCACACCCTGTCTCCCCCATCAGAACTCTCCGGAATCATCTGGACCAGCTGTCTCTGTGCACCTCTGGCTCCCTCTCCAGCCCCGTGTGGAGTGGCTGGGTGGCACGACGGCCCCGTGCCCTGTGGTTTTCCTCCACTGTGTCACAGTCTGCCTGACACTGTTTGTTTACTGTTTACTTGTTTAACTTTTGATTGCCTCCCACTGAGAGCAGAGGCTTTGCCTCACTGAGGCTGAACAAACAGCTTTGACGGTGCCTGGCACACAGGAGACATGTAGTGAATATGTGAAACGTGGGGTGTGGAATGTGAATTCGCCTGGGTGCTAAAACAGGCCTTTCTGGATGAAGGAGTGAAATGAGATTGTAGCTTCAAGAGCCGTTTCTAGTTTTCAGTCTCATCAGGTCCATTGGTTTTGTTTTGTCTGGTTTTTTTGCTGGTGGGGGGTGGATTTTGTTAAAGCTCTTTATATAAAAGAAACTCTCTGTCTTTATTTGTTGTAAATGCCCCTGCTTTGTCTTTGCTTTTTGATGGTTTTTGACTTTTAAAATACCAGTGTCTCTCGTTTTAAAATACCAGTGTCACATGTATTATTGTACCATGAAACTTATGTAGAAGTGTGCAGCCAGAAACTAACACGTCATAAATCAACTACTCTTCAGTTTTAAAAGTTTTTTTTTTAAGTGTGCAAAAAAACTCTTAGTTCTTAGAATTTAAGTGCTTTTCCTCTCCTAGTGCCACCTTAAAATGGGATCCTGACCTGGTGAGCAGAGTGCTGGGGAGGGCCCGGGGCCTCACCCTGAGCTCAGCGCACCGTCCTGGAGACCCCGGTCCATGGTAGGTGCTCCGTGTGACCCCCACACAGAAGTTACCCACATGCCATCTGACAACTTAGGAGGGCTCTCCAGAATCTAGTACCAGGTTCTGTTTCTGCTAGCGGATCTGTTCACTTAGTGTTCTCTGGTGGGGTCGCTGTACCCGAGCGACCTGCCTTGTCCCTTTGCCTGTCCGGCAGTGTAAGGGCCGATGTGTCAGGCTGTGGTGTAGACACAGCATAGCCTCACCACCACGTGTGTTCAGGATCCCCAGCCTTGATTTTTGGGGGGCCTGTATTTATCTTTTCCTTATTTTTATTCTTTCCTTTATATTTTATTGTCATTTTATTATCTTGTGTTTTTCTAGGCTACCAGAAAATCTCTTTAGAATTGAGACAAAACGTTAAATAAGCTTATACTCATTTTGTGATAAAAAGCACCTGCTAAACTTCACTAATAAATACCACTTCTTAGGCTGTTTTTTTGAAACTCTGTTTTTGTGTGGGGGAGAAGGGGTTTTTTGTTTGCTTTTGCTTATGATTTCCTTGTAAAATAGCATTTTTCTTATTTCTCTATCTTAATTGTGCAGATGAATTAATATGTATATTGAAAAATGAGCATTGTTGTACAGAATTATCTGTTTGGTAAATTTTAAGCCATTTTCCCTGAGCTAACCATTGCTTCTGTGTAGGAAGAAATGAATCACAACCAGAAAGCCAGGAAGACCCCCGGGAAGTACTTAAGAAAACATTGGAATTCTGCTTGTCCAGGTAAGGGTGGTGGTGCTTGTGCTGGCGCCTTGTGGCCAAGGTGGTGTGCACTGGAACTGCACACACAGACAGGGTGCTTTCCACGGGAGAAGAGGCTGTCTGTCAGCCTCTGTGTCTTACATCTGTTGATAGGGAATGGAGACTGTTGGCCTGCTGCCCACTGTCCACAGGTGTGTCTTGATCGTTACCTGGGTTGCTTTTGAACTTTGGTTTCCTCCCATCCCTACCCACCCTCCTGTTGTGAGTGAGGAGCCTTGGGGGGGGTCAATCTCACAGAGACATTTTTTAGCACGCCGAAGTTCGAGGACACGTTTCCTATATTAGTTCTCAAAGTATGCCAAGCGCTGCACTGTGAAGCTGTTTTCTTTGTGTAGCAGTCATATTTTTGTTTTTTCTGTTAAATAGAGCAGAATGTGTAGGGTCGCGTTGCGGACCGGGGCGTGTGGGGAGGTGGGGCTGAGTGTGAGGGGACAAGCCAGGTGAGACGCTCCCTGTCAGTCAGGGCAGTTCTCCGGGTGTTCCTCTGGGCCGCCTCTGCCCTCAGACCTGGCGCAGGTGTCCGGTGCAGCTGTGTGAGGGTGAGGGGAGGGGCGCTGTGCTGGGCGCCTTCCACTGCTGTGCAGCCCAGACTGGGACACCGCCTCGATGGCTTGCTGATCAACTCCCCGGGAGGAGGTGCTCCCGCAGGCCTGCCCTGGGCTCCTGCAGCAGAGTCCACACCTGCGGGGCTGCTGGGGGGCAGGGTGCACCCTTGCACAGCACGGGCTTCGTGGGGCCTTCTTTTGGGAACCAGAGTTCAGCTGTGTGTGGTGCTGAGGGGTTTCTGAGCGCGTGGTCCTCTTTGTGGAAACTCCCCGGGACACCTGCCCTCCTCCCTCCAGGGCTGTCAGTGGTTTAACTGGCCCCGTGGCATATGTGGTTGGCCACATGCACAGCTTTGTCACCCTGGCCGCTCCAGGGGGCTGGGAGGCCAGAGTCAGAGTCCTGGCCTCTGCAGGTGTCCAGCCTGAGCCACAGGCACTCTGGGCACCAGCCTTCCCTGGTGTTTCTGCATTTTTCTTTCTTTTGTTCTATCACTGGATTTCCTTACTTTAAAAGGTTGGGTTTATATTTTTAATAAGCTACTCAAACACTTTGGGACAGAGATAAGCTATAAGCACATTTGTGAAAGTTTTACCTGCTTGCTGATTGTGATTGTACAAAGTGCAGCATACTTTTACTTTTGCTCTCTCTGCCTCCTCAGATGTCTTTGATAAAAATTGTCCCAAGGTAAGAGAGGTGGCAAATGGTAGGTGGGGTTGGAATTTAGAGAAAACTTCAAAGCAACACCGTACCACGCTTGTACCTCTTGCGAGGCTTCCTTTTAAAGAAGTTATCAATTAAGAGAGATTGTCTTCTTTCTGCAGGGAGAATCTTGCTAGTGACATGTATCTTATATCGCAGATGGACAGTAATCAGTACATGCCAATCACCATGGTTGCTAACCTGGGCCACATCAAGAAGCTTAGCACCGACATGGACTTGATTGTCGAAGTGCTGAGGTGTAAGTAGGCCGCAGCCGGCTGAGACGCACGTGGCCCAGACGGCATCTTTCTTGCTGACGTGACCATCAGGTGCTCAGCCATTCGTGAGGAGATACTCGGTGGCAAGTGGAGTCTCCCCTCGCCTCCCAGGCCTTTCTGACAGTCCTGGTATCTGGTGAGGCGCATGGCGCTGGGGCACTGATGGGGCTCCATGACAGCCCTCAGGAGCATCTTAGATTGTGGCCTGTGGGGTAGAAAAGGCTAATGGAGAGGTTAACCGTTGTGTATTCAGAGTAGAGTCATGTGCATTTTGATTAGCATGCCAGCTGCTGAAAGAGTTTTTCAAATTTCAGCTTCCTACTGAAGTTCTGTTTGGGTTTATTGCATTCTTCCTTAGAAACATTCTGTGAATTAGGTTGTTCCTTGGACATTTGGCAACATCAAAAGAAGATTTAAACATATCGAGACCCACAGGGATTCAGGAAGAGTGGGTATTTAAAGTGTGACCTGGCCTAGTTTGCTTTGCAGACAGGCTTCTCACAACCTAACCATTTTATTATTTGTAAAAAACATTTTACTGAGGTATAGTCGCACGTCGTGAACTGTGTGTGTTTAAAGTATACAGTTGGATCATTTTGGACCCACATGTATGTTGGTGAAACCCAGTTTCCTCGTGCCCCGTCACGCTGCGCCTGTCCCCTCCCACCCGGGATGGCTTCTACAGGTGTTAATTTCATAGTAAATGTGCACTGTGTGGGATTTTTTTAAAAATGGGATGATGTTTAATTCTTTATAAAGTTGCACTTTTTATGATGGGGCTACAAGTACCAGCTGGTGGTTTCTGCCCCCGCAGTTCTGAGCATCTCTGAGGGGCACCCTTCGTGAGGCACGCAGTGGTGGGTGCCCGAGTTAAAGCCACCTTTCTGTGTCTCCGCCATGACTTTCCATCACTGACTCTTACACAGAGTGTTCATGTTCTCCCAGCTTAGCTGTGCTGCTGACAGTGAAGATTTTTTTTCTCACGTGCATTCGATTTAACAGCAGTAGAAAAAGATGAACATCCTATTTTAGAACTTAGTTGGATTTTCTGTTCACATAAAAAAGTTCTCTATTTCTGTTCCTCTGTAAATCTCATAAGGCCATTAAATTAATTAAAAAAAACTGGCAAACATAGAAATACATTAAGTTTAGTTCTGAAAATTATACCCCCATTTCTTTCCCAAGGCAGTGTTGTGTCTCCAGTGGTGCTTTGTCTCTTGGGTCCATTGAGAGCAGGCCCTGTTGTGTGTCAGCTGAGTTTGGTTCCCATCTGACCAGCAGCTTTCTTTACTCTGTTAACAGTCTTTGGTTATTGTTAAGAATCTCATATTTACTTATTTCTTTCAGGCTGTCCTTATAAACTTTGCTGCCCTGCTGAGGATAATTTTCCATTGACACTTGATGGCTGGGAGCATGTTTGGTAACCCTGTGTAGTTGCTTAAAGGAGCCATTTCTGCCACGGGCAGCCCTGTTCTCCCCTACTGTTTCCCACTTCCTTCTCCAGTACTGTTTCTGTGCGGGTTCTTGGGTTGGAATGTTGTTGTCTGTCCATTAATATTCAGCTAGTTTTGTCCAATTGTTTTCACTTAACTTTTGGACAGAAATATATGTACATATGTAATAACCTGCATGATCAGAGTAGAGTCAGCGCATTACCGTATTAGTTGTAGTTCTGGAGAGGGTGAGCAGAGAGGCTTCTTAAGTTTGAATCTTATCCCCATCCCCAAAATACCTAACATAGAATCAGATACACCACAGACAGTTGGTAATACCTTGTTTTAATTTAAATATTCTCATGTTGACTGAGTTGCATAAATTACTTTTTTAGACTTTTTATAATCAATACGTATATAGTGCATGTCACACTATATCTAATTCAGGTGCTCTATATTTATAGTTAATTTAATTGAAATTGTTAATTTAAAAGAACTCTAAAACATTTGTCATCAGGGTGTGAATAAATACACTGAGCTAGCCACACAGTGAATGCTAGAGCAGATAAAATGAACTCGGCATATGTTTTTCAACAAGAATAAAATTTAAGGTCATAATGTTGATTAAAAGGGTGTTTCAAATTACGTACAAGGTAATACCATTTGTATAAAGTTTCGGCATGTGTAAACAGAACTATGTTTTTGTGGATTCAGAGATAAGGGGTAGGAGCATAAACACGTGAATAGGATTGAAGCTGCTGACTCAGCGTGTTGGGGGCAGCTAAGCGGGGAGAGAGACTGGCAGAGGCGGGGAGGGAGGGCACGGAGTGCTTTGCCACTGCCTGGTTTTTGTATGGGTTTACAGCTTTCCTTGTTGGTGAGGTGGAGTTTACACACTTCAGATTCACATGGTGTAAGTGTACATCTGGTATATTTTGACATGTTTATACACTTGAGGATCTGCCACCATCAGCATGATGAACGTGTCCATCAACCTGCCCCAACCCACCAGAGTTTACTCCTGCCCCAGGCAACTACCCTGCTTGTTTGTTTTTTTGTCATTATAGATTAGTTTAAATTTTTAGGAAAGTGTATATAAATGGAATCAGTCATGAACTGTCTTTTTTCGGGGAGTGTCTGCATTCTTTCACTCGGCGTAATTATTTTATTTAGTGTCAGTAGATTGTGGCTTTTTATCGCTGAGTCATGCTCCATCGAGTAGATACAGCACAGTTGGTTTGTCCCCCGAATCGGAAGATGCTTAGGTCATGACAGGTTTTGGCCGTTACAGATGAAGTTGCCAGGAACGTTGGTGTGAGTCTGTGTGGACAGACATCCCCGCCTCTCTTGGGTAGGTCGCTGCGAGTGGGAGGTCGGAGCAGGTGGCAGGTGTGTGCGCTTGGGAAGCTGCTGCCTGTTTCTGGAGTGCTGAGCTGTGACCAGGGCAAGCGCTCCCAGCGATTCTGCGTCAGTTTTCCCAGCGGGTGTGGGTGTGTCCGTGTGGCTTCATTTTCTCTCTCCCAGGTGCCCCCACCTTGTCCCCTCCTGTCTTTGAAGACGCCCCGCCGTAGCCCAGCTGACTACCTTGTTTCTTTCACAGAGCTTGCTTTGGGTATTGTTCCTAAGAAATCTTTGCTAAATCCCAGGCCACAAGTGATTTCTCCTAGATGTTTCTGGGTTTAGGTTTACATTTTTAGGTCTGTGATCCCCACAAGCTCATTTTTGTGTATGGCATGAGGTGGATCTGAGTCCCCAGCTCCTGGTGTGTTGGTGTGCGGCTGCTCCCGCCCCTTGTCGGAAAGACTCAGCCTTCCCCACTGTACTGCCTGTGCCGCTCTCAGTCATTTACCTCACAGGTGGGGGCTCCTCTCCGGCTGGGGGTCGGCCTGAGTCTGCTGGGCTGTTCTGACACCTGTCCTGCAGTGTCCGGGTGGTGCTGGCTTGACAGTAGGTCTTAGAGGAGGTGCAGAGTCTCCCACTTATTTTGGCTCTCTGCATTTTGCATAAATGCTTGCATTTCCATGTGAACTTTAGAATTAACATTTTGGTTTTTCAAAAGGGCCTGTTGGTATTTCTATTGGGATTACACTGAATTAATAAATCAGTTTGGAGAGAATTGACACTGTAACAATATTGAGTTTTCCAATCCACTGACACAGAATATCTTTCCATTTACTAAGGAAAGTCTTAAAATTTTTTCCTTTGGCAATGTTTTGCAGTTTCCAGTGTGCAGGTCTTTCATATCTTTACAGATTTATAACTAAGTATTTCATATTTTGGACACAATTTTAAATATTTTTATTTCAATTTCTGATTGGTGCCAGTATGTAGCAATACAGTGTATTTTTGTGTGTTGATCTTATACTTAAACCTTTTCTAGACTCACAGTTGTAGTGTTTTATAGAAATTGTATGAGGTTTTCTATATAGAGCTTAGCGTATCTGCAAATGAAAAGCTTTACCTTCCTGCACCCAGTCTGCGTGCATGTAATCTCTATTTCTTGTGTTACAACCCTGGCTGAGGCCTCCAGGGCTGTGCAGAATAGAGTGGGGGTCAGCATCCTTGCCTAACCCATCTACTGGCACGAGTGGTGCTGGACGTTGGCATTTTGTCAGTGAGGAGGTTTGCCTTCCCCTTCCTTGTTTGCTGAGTATTTTTATCAGGAATACAAGTTGGATTTTGTCAGATGCTTCTGTGTCTATGTGGTAATTGTGTTTTTGTTTGTTTTTTAAGTCCATTAATATGGTGAATTACGTTGTTTAATTTTCTTTGGAAACCAGTCTTATTTACTGAGAAAAATCCACTTGTCATTATATAGTTCTATTTGTATGCTTTGTTGGATTCAATTTGGCAAAATTTGATGAGAATTTTTTATTAATCTTCCTGAAGGATATTGGTCTGTAGTTTTTTTGTCTTGTGATGTCTTTGCTTAGTTTGGGTGTAGAAATGCTGGCTTTGTAGGTTGAGTTGGAAAGTACTCTAAAGTGTTTTGGAAGAGTTTGTACTGTAGAATTGGTGTTTTTTTGTTTTTGTTTGTTTTCCTGAATGTTTGATAGGATTGTGTAGAAAATGTTCTTTTTTTCTATAGTACGCTTTGGTATGCTCTGTGTGCTTTACGGACTGTTTCTGTTTCATGGAAGTTGTCTGATTTACTAGCAGGAGCTTTTCCATAATGTTCCCTTGTTACCCCCTTGATAGCAGTAGAACCAGAGTGAATTTATGTCCTTTCTGGAGCTGGTAACGCATGTCGTCGTGGTGGTGGATGGCCCTGAGCTCTGATAGTGACCTTGATGTGCTGTGACCTGACTCTGTATGGGATACAAGTTTACAGAGTGACACCAAAAGGCAAAACCTAACCGAAAGGAGATCAGTAAAAGCCAGTGAGGCCTGAGTCAAGCCTGACTGGTACTGGCGGTGTTTACCCCTGTTTCAAAGGTGCAAAACCTTTTGATAGTTTGTGTTGAACTGTCAGGATTTCTGGTGTTTACCTGTCGCACAGCTTTCTTTAACGCAGTTAGTAGTACAGTCTAGCACGCCCCTCCAGGGTATCTATGTGGTCGTAATGAGAAACAAATGGTTGATTTGTTTTAATTTTGTGCACCATCCTTTTCCCTTCTCTGCACAGCTTTACCTTTAGTCCAAGTGGACGAGAAGGGAGAAAAAGTGAGGCCATACCAGAACCGCTGCATAGTCATCCTGCGCGAGGTATCTGAGTCCACCCCCGTAGAGGTAAGTCGCTTCTGCTCCGAAGGGTATTTGCACTTCTCTGTGGCTTTTCTGCTTACTTCTGTGGGTTTTGGAGGGTGTATTTTAAAGAATGAGTAGGTAAAGTAACACTTTTCCCCAGGATTTACACACTCAGAGTGAGAGTGGTTCTCAAGCTTTCTGGTCTTGGGACTTCGAGTACACACTTGACGTTAAAAAAAAAAAACAGTTTATGGTAGCTTCCATTTTTAGAAATTAAAAGGAGAAAGGCTTAAATATTTATTCGTTTTAAAATAAGAATAATAAATCCACAAGTTGAGACAAAACATATTTTTATGCTAAATAATTTTTTGGAACAAACGCTTTTTTGAGGAGAGGGCCGCCACGGGCGCCAGTGTGCATGTGCTGGTTCGAGCCAATGTGCGGCCTTAGCGCCTTTCTGGGGCCAATTTGAATGATGATTTTTTTCTCATTATACATCATATCTTTATGTCTCTTTGTGTGCCTGGTAAATTTTGAATGCATGCCGGGCATTTTGGAGTTCACTTTATACTGAGTGGTGGTGTTTCCCTGGGCTCTGTGTTGAGGTTTAGTCAGTGGCGGGGGAGCAGAGCAGATGCACCGGACACTTCCCGGCTGAGGCTGGTGGGAGGGGCAGTCATGCGTCCCAGAGAGCTCAGGGGTTCCCTCTCGTCAGGTGGCTATTTCCTGCGTGCTGGGTCCTGGGGTGCCCCTGAGCTTGCAGCTTTGGGCTGGCCTGTGCTCACTCTCCTGGCACCATGGCCTGGGAACCCCAGGCCCTCACTGGGCACTCGGGCTCACTTACACCTGTCCCCCAGGGACTGTGCTCCTGTGTGGCCTCAGAAACCATTCTCTCTTATATTTTGTCTTTGTTTCCTGTGGGGAGGGTATGTTTGGTCCATCTTAGCTGGAACTGAAAGCCCAGCTAATTTTTAAGTTTCTTAAATTACGTTCCTCCCCTCCTCCCCCAGTTGTGTGGTTATTGGCCTCCTGGTAAGATAAAATGGTATTTTCACGGTAATTGAGTCAGTGGTACATTGGAGGTCAGTAGGTTGTGAGCTTGTTTCCTGTGGCAGTGGGATCCTCACTCTGGAAGCCACACTGAACGCCTAGCCACTTTGGGAGGGTTCTAGACATCAGTGTGTTTGGCTTGTCTTCTAAGCATCTGTCCTTCAGAGTGTGTCATTTCTGTTTAGGGAGGACAAATGGTGGCACAGCTGGGAATTTAATTAACTTCTGACCTCTTTCCTGTAGGAAGTAGAAGCACTATTTAAAGGAGACAACTTACCAAAGTTCATAAACTGTGAATTTGCCTATAATGATAATTGGTTTATTACATTTGAGACAGAGGCAGACGCACAACAGGTGAGCTCGCTGCCCCTCCCCCCACCCACCCCACCCCACCCCGTGGAGCGCACTAGCCGTTGGTACACAATGGGACTCTGCGCCTGTGGGCCGCTCTCGTGCCGCGGTACTGGGTTTGAACATAAGTGCAGAGCAAACCAGAGCAGGTGTGTGTGTGCAGACAGTTCTGTAGCAACATGGAAAGTGCAGGCATGACTTCCTAAGGACGTGGGAGACTGACAGCGTAGGAAAACTGGTTCTGCTCTTTCATCTGTGCAGAAAAAGGTTTGAATATTTAGAAAAGTGTTTGGGGGTTTTGAACCTGACCCTGACGTTGCAGGGCAATGTTGCATTGCAACATCCTTAAAAAAGCGTCAAGAGGCTCTCTGTGGGAGACAGAGAGTTCAGGGGGTTCCCTTCCCGTAAAGGAAGACTCTTCCTTAGGGAGACATGCGCCCATGTAGGGAGTGCCCTGTATGTAGTACCAGGTGTTGTCAGCGAGACTGCTGGGGCTCGGCCAGAGAAGCCAGGGTCTGAAAGCTGGGTTTTAACTGGGTGAAGGGAAGAGGGCCTCACAGGAACAGAGAAATGGGAGGAGGGAGAGCCTGTCTGGAGCAGCACGAGCCCTCCTTCCCACGTGGGGCGGCTCAGAGCCCTCGGGGTCGTGGGGGACGTGCGGAGAAGGAGGTGGTTCGTAAATAATGACTTGAACACTGTGATCTTCACTCTTTCTTTCCCAGTCTGTGTAATTCCAGGTGCACGTTGGGGTCATTGTTTCCCCGGGTGAGGATTCTTAGCCTGTGATCTGTGGGATGCTGTTGTAGTTTCTGTTAATGCTTAGAAAGCTGTATACAGATATTGTTCGTGAGAATTTTTGACAGTTCCGTAGCCTCTGTCAGGTTCTTTTGAGGAGTGTGACCCAAAAAGGTCAAAGGGTACTGTTCTTGGTCACGTCCACCGTGTGTTAAGTACACAGCTCCTTATTCGAGGCACTGAGTTGTCAATTCGTCTTATTCGTAAGATTAACACATTGGTATCATGGATGGTTCTTGCCCTCAGGCGTACAAATATCTGCGAGAAGAAGTCAAAACTTTTCAAGGAAAACCAATTAAGGTAAGCGGGACCTTTGGCTGTACTTTGTGTGCGAATCAGTGTTCCTTAGTATTCTCCCAGAAGCTTACTGTTTTCACACAGGTGCGGATAAAAGCAAAGGCAATAGCTATAAACACATTTTTGCCAAAGAACGGCTTCCGGCCCCTGAACTTGAGCCTCTACACGCAGCAGCGCTACACGGCCTCGTTCTACTTGCCTTCGTTCTACTTGCCTCCGGTCTACAGCGCCCAGCAGCACTTCCCTCTCTACAGCCTGGTCGCCCCCCAGGCCTGGTCAGCCACACACAGCTATCTCAACCCGCCCCTGGTGAGTCCGGCTTCATGTGGGGCTCAGGCGGGGACACCTGCCCCAGCGCAGCAGCCCTCATGGTCAGTTTATTGGGAGGCACGGGGGCTGGCTGCACACACTGAATGCATTTTGTGTGATGTGATCCAGCCCTTTGCCCAGGTTGCCTCCCTCCAGTCTGGCGTTCCCTAAGCTGTGTAGTCCTTCGTACGACGCAGAATGTGACTGCACGTTCCAGGAGAGCTGGGGCACTTGCAAGCATGAGGGGTGCAAGGAGGTGCATCTGAAAAGGGTTTTGCAGTGGGCTCCCAGCAGTGCAGCCGAGGAGAAGACACTCTAGCGGGCCTCACCCTGCTGCGCCTTTCTCGGAGTGGACGTTCCTTGCAGAACGTGGAACAGAGGTGACCCAGGTTGCCGCAAGGTGCAGCACTAACCAACTGAAGTCTCTTTGTTCTTAATAAATCTAGGTAACTCCATTTCCAAATGCTGGATTTATAAATGGGTTCACGTCTCCCACCTTCATACCTGCAGCATTTCCTCTGGCCTCCCTCAGACAGTACCCTCCAGGAAGCAGGTAAGTAATATGAGGTCACCGCCATACTGTGTGCTTTCAGAGCAGAGCAGAAACATGACACGTGGAAAACCTTGGCAGTCCTCACCACGTGCTCAAGTCCCCCTGACACTCGCTGATGATAGATTTGACCAGCGTTAATGTCCATCAGACATGAAACACCCAGAAGTGTGGGATCACGCACTCTGAGAATTAGACCCTCAAATGTGTGCTGTGGTGCCTGCAGAAAGGACAGGCTCACTGGAGACAAAGGCTTCTGGGGACCTGGACCATAGCCAAGCAGAGCATTGATGTTGTTTTCAGATTGGCATTATCAGACATACTATAAGTTAACAATGCTAAATAAAGCTTTTTGTATTTTTTTCTAAATAGAACACTTTTGCCTAGACGTTTGCGTATTAGCATGCTCATTTTGTGACTCTGACCGTTCTAGAGCTGAGCTGTACAAATGCTTTATTTATAGGAACCCTAGTAATTCTCATCCATGCCATGCCATCCCCAGTGCAGAGAGAGGGCCTGGGCTCCTGGAAAGTCCTTGCATGTTTACCTTCACTGAGGATCAGCTGATTAATGGTGTCCAGAGCCCGCAGATGAGGCCGGCAGGTCAGCCTCAAGCACGGGCACAGAACCCTCCAGCCTTCGCCAAGAGAGACGCAGGGCCGGGGCGCGTGGAGCCGAGCAGTCTGGAGCCCTCCCCTGGCTTAGGTAGAGGAAGGTGAGTGCTTAGTCTTTGCTGGGCAGGCACCTGGTGTTTCATAAACTGTAGTTTCAAGTTCCATTCATTTAAGGTGTGTTCTACAATCATTATTTTCAAATCCATCACAGAAAATCACATTGAAGGCTGTAGCCATCAGAGGTTTTGTGTGTTTACTTAGAGGGTAACTTTCAGAGCAGGCACTTGCTGGTTCCCTCTTTTTGGTGATAGGACACCGTCCTGTGAGGACTGGGGGTGGGCTGAACCGTGTTAGGTCCCAGTCATCCTTTGTGGAGAATTGACCAGCCTCCGTGTTCTGTGAGCCTGTGGTCGCCCCGCCTCACTCCTCCTGCCACTGCAGAGTCATATGGCAGGCAGGCAGTGAGTTGTGTGGGCGGGCAGACCAGAGTTTAAATTCATATTGAACTTACTTATAAACAAGAGCTGTTCCGGTTACGTGGTGCCGCTGGCCACATTTAGGGGAGGTCTCGCCTGCCCTTCCATGGCTCTGGCAGGTCCTGCACAGCCTGCCCCTTGTGCCCTCTCCCCGCTCACTTCCATGGGTGCCACTCCCTGTCTCGCCCTCTGCGGGGGACAAGATGGGAACGGGGAGGGGTGCAAGGGTTCATCAGTGATGTCTGGCACGGCCTTGACAGGTGGAGGCTGGCTTTATCCATTTCCTTCCCTCAGCGGTTAATTCCAAACGGGCTGCCAGGAAGGACTTGCCCTCTGACCCAAAGCCACAACCAGCACGTGTTCAACCTGCCTAAGATTTTTTTTACCCACTTGGAAAACTTTTAAGAACAATTTCTTCATGTGTTCTGTACAGAGCAGATAGGACCATGTCTGACACACAGAAGCCCCTCCGTCAGGCACCCGGTGTGCACCCAGGGCAGTGTGGATGTCCCGTTCGCCATGGCTGGGTGGAGTTGGCATGGCCGGGGCTGCGTAGCATCAGGAAATTGGACATGAAGTTGGCTGGACAGGCACTGGAGGGCTGAGGGGCAGAGGGGACACTGAGGAAGTGCAGACGCAGCGACCTCAGGAAGCACCTGCTGCTGGGGGAACGGCATGGGTTGTAAACTGAGGGGCCTGGAGCAGGGCCTGCGGAGCTGAGGCTAGGCCCTCAGAAAGGTGGTCCTTGGGCGCAGTCAGGGCTGGTTAGAGATGGTGCGGGAAAAGTGCCACCAGGAAGACTCGTTCCCAGGCCTCGCCATCGTCCTGGGCATGGAATAGGGCCCGCAGGTGCAGAGCCACTGCCCAGCGTCTCCACGGTGGGGGCAGGCCACGCATCTCAGGTGGTCCTGCCACCACTTCCGGCTTCAGACCACAGCAAGATGCGTGTGGTTTGTCCAACTTGTGGAGACCTCCTCCAGTAGGGGGTCGAGCTCCCCCTAAAGAGTACCCCAGGACTTCATCCAACACCAGCCAGACATCAGGAAGGGGGAATGGTCAGCTGAGGTGCCCTGGGACGTGAAGCCGGCAGGGAGGGGCTGGTCAGGACGCCCTCATGGTCCTTGTTTCCAGACCAGGCCTCGGGCTCTTCAGGGCTTTTCAGCTGGAGTGTCGTTCAAACGCAGAGGGCAGGGGGGCTTTGTAGTAGGACTGCAGCCCAGGCCGAGACATGCTGCTTCTGCCGGGGTCGGGGTGGAGGTCTCATAGTCATGCCCGTCTTCATGACTTTGTGCCCATGCACCACGGGCAGAATGTTCCTCAGTCCTGTGGCATCCTGTGGGCAGGCATGTAGTCTCCATCTGCTGGGAGCCCTTGAAAGCTGGGGACTATTTCTGGACTAGTTTCTACAGGAGGGTGTGGCTTTGGGCCAGAGTCCTGGAGGCCTGCACCGTGCTTCCCCTAGCGGGGCGGCCAGGCTGTCCCTGCTCAGCACAGGGGTCACACTCTGACACCTTAGGCCATCTTAGGCAAGGCTGCTGGGAGGTTCTCTGAGAAATAAAGGAATTAGTTGAGATTATTTCTAAATTCCCTTATAGTTTATGTAATACAG